ATAGAAGCAAAGTGATGATTCTGATAGGGTACCACAATACAGGTGCATACAAGCTCTATTGTCCAGAAACCAATAAAATTGAATTCAGCAGAGATGTGATTGTGAAGGAATCAGAAGTTTGGAATTGGGATAAGTCTCAATCTGATTCTGATGTTAGAACTTCTGAAGAAAGGTCAGAGTTAAGAATTTCTGAAGTTGAAGTAAACTCTGACGTTGATTCTGACTCTAATAGTGATTCTGACTCTGGAGAAGACTCAGAAGATGAAAGTGACTCTGATGATCCAGACTCTGATGGTAATCCAGATTCTGGTGGCAATTCAGACTCTGAAGATGGCCAAGACTCTGAAAATATGCCAGATCTTGAAGATGGTCAAAGCTCTAGAGGAAGTCAACCATTTGAAGCTAGAAACTCTGAAGCTCAAGACTCTGAACAAGTTCAGAGACCACAAAGAATCAGAAGCGTTCCCAGAAGATTTGCAGAATTTGACATGCTGCAAGACACTGAAGTAGACTCTGAAGGAGAAGTTATTCAGTGTGCCATGTTAGTAGACTCTGAACCTATAAGTACAGAGGAGGCTCTTAAGCAGAAGCTCTGGCTGAAGGCCATGAAAGAAGAACTTGATGCTATAGAGAGAAACAAGACTTGGAAGCTGACAGAACTTCCAAAAGACAAGAAAGCCATCAGCGTCAGATGGGTTTTCAAGCAGAAGTTAAAGCCAGATGGCTCAATTGGCAAACATAAAGCAAGGCTGGTAGCCAGAGGATTTCTACAAAAACCTGGGCTGGATTACTCTGAAGTGTTTGCACCTGTAGCAAGACATGAAACAATCAGAATGGTGATTGCAATAGCTGCTAACAGGAATTGGCCTCTGATGCATTTAGATGTAAAATCTGCATTTCTGAACGGTCCATTAGAAGAAGAAGTTTACGTGTCACAACCTCCTGGATTTGTGAAAAAGAATCAGGAAGGGATGGTGTACAGATTATACAAAGCTCTATATGGATTGAAACAAGCGCCCAGAGCTTGGAATCAGAAGATTGATTCATTTTTCAAGAAGCAAGGCTTTCAGAAATGTGAGATGGAGTACGGTGTCTATGTTCAGCATACTTCTGAAGGCAATATGACTCTGGTATGTTTATATGTTGATGATATACTGCTGACTGGAAGTTCTGAACAGGAGATAGCCAAGTTCAAGAAGGTTCTAATGAATGAACTTGAAATGACTGATCTAGGCAAAATGACATACTTTCTAGGGATGAAGTTCAAATATTCTGAGAAAGGTATCATTTTGCATCAGCTCAAGTATGAATTAGAACTTCTGAAGAGATTTGATCTGAAGAATTGTAAGATGGCTGTCACACCTTCTGATACAAATCAGAAACTGGATTCAGACTCTGAAGGAAAGGATGTGGACGGTACAACCTTCAAACAGTTGGTTAGTTCTCTGAGGTATTTGTGCAATACCAGACCTGATATTTGCTACTCAGTTGGGATGGTTAGTAGGTTCATGAGTAAACCTAAGTGGTCCCATTACCAAGCTGCTGTCAGGATTCTGAGGTATATCAAAGGAACTCTGAAGTATGGAGTGTTATTTCCCTCTGGAGGAAATAATGAGTCAGAACTTCTGAGTTATTCAGACTCTGATTGGTGTGGAGACAGAGTTGACAGAAGAAGTACATCTGGGTACTTGTTCAAATTTCTGGGAGGTTCCATTTCTTGGTGTTCCAAGAAGCAACTTGTTGTGGCGTTGTCAACCTGTGAAGCTGAATACATTACAGGTGCTGTTACTGCATGTCAAGCTGTGTGGATTCTGAATCTGTTGCAGGATCTGAAGATTAAAGTAGACAAACCTCTGAAGTTGATGATTGACAACAAGTCTGCAATCAATCTTGCCAGAAACCCAGTGTTGCATGGGAGAAGCAAGCATATTGAGACCAAGTATCATTTTCTGAGACATCAAGTTCAGAGTGGAGTGTTAGAAGTTGTACACTGCAGCACTCAGAAGCAGTTGGCAGATGTTCTGACGAAAGCTATCAAGACTGATCAATTTCTCAGACTAAGGGATGGAATTGGTGTTACAAGTTTTGATGGAATATGAATTAAGGGATGGTATTAGAATATTAATAGTAATTCATATTTATTTAGTTGTACTATTTTCTTAGCCCCTAAGTTTGTTAGAGGGTATTTTAGTATTTTATCTTATTCTAGTAACCCTAGTTTTAGCTTATAAATAGGGTGACAATCATTGTAACTTTTATCATGTTTTGTAGCCGTCATTCTTAATAGAATATTTCCTTTGATCATCATTTATTCACCTTTGCACCAACACGTTGAGAATGGTGAAATGAGAATTATTTAAAAATTCAAATTTGAATTTGATAAGGTAAAAACCGTCTTGGCTATGCCCAAGAGCATGCTTAATTGATGACTTTATTAAAAGAAGTGTTAAAAAAAAGACTATTTAAATAGGGAGAATGTTGATAATAGTACTATTATAAAATTGCATATTAATCTTAAAATATAATTCTTTTTATTTTATTTACAGAAGTAAATATTTTCAATGATATTTATAATTTAAATAAAAAATAAAATAATTTATTTAAATTTTATAAATGATTTATTTTTAATATTAAAACAAGAGTTTAATGATAGTGCATTGTCCGTGTAAGTCAGTTTTACACATGCAACCAATCAAAATATTTATAATTGTCATATAATATCAGTATTTTTAAAATAAAAATATGTTTTATTCTCATACATGGTTGTGATTGGTTGAAAACGTCTCCAAATTTGAGTCAAACTCTATTTATAACATGCATGATTTGAAAAATATATAAAATATCGATTTTGTGGAATTCAAATTTTGCTGTACTTACTAAATCCCGCTTTCACACAATTAAGGAATGTGATTGTCCGATTAAAATCAAACGATTTTATTTAAATTCAATATTTATATAATTATAAAAGTAAAAAATAAAAAGAATCTGTTTTCTCAAATCATTCAATCAAAATCAAGCAACTAATATTATTGTGACTGCATGAAAAAGTCGTCTGAAGTAGATTCAGATTCAATTTTGTAAGAGTAACTAGCTGTGAGCCATCTTAGTAAAATAAATTGTTTTTTGATTAAGCAGTTTCATGATGGTATTTACAATATTACATTACATGATGAGAAAAAAGTAAGGACAAATTTAGGAATCTTAGGTTAAAAAAAGGACGAGTAGAGAAAAACACAAGTTAAGTTGGTAGCATAAAAGTGCTTTTGCTCCAAACTTTATGATGAAGATTAAAAATGGAATGGAATGGAGTATGGTGGGGAATAAGGGAAAGGCATTCTGGCACTCACAAAATTGACATTTGGCACAATGGATTGCATAATCAATCATCAATCAGTACAAGCCAATTCACACAATAGCCTATCCAAAAAAAGAAAAAAAAATTATATGCTCTTTCCGTTTTGAAATAAAAAGTGTTTCAAAATAAATAATTTATTTTAATTTTGAATGTATTTTTATTTTATTTTATTTTTTAATTAATATTATTTTTATTATTTTCAATACACTTTAGTAAAAATATCATTCTCTCTTTCATTTATTTACTTTTTTTTAATCTGTATGAAATGATCAACTAAATTATTCATTGTGGAACGAATAAAGTATTTTGAAATAGAGTTTCGTTGTTTATTATAGTTGTTTTTTCTTTTAATTTAAAAGATGGTGTAAATTTATAACATTTTCAAATTAAATTTTTTTACTGTTTATTCATGTTGGTTTTTGAGGAAAAACTAAGGCTTAATCGGGCTCTTAAAAAATTCTTAAATTGAACCGAACCATCAAACTAAATCGAATTAAATTTAAAATAATTAAACTATTATGTTTGATTGATGAATCAAACCATATAGTACAAAACAGATTTAGAACCATATAGAAATTAAAACTAAACTGAACTGAAATTGAATCAAATTGAAAAATACTAAAAACAAGTTTTAATTTTTTTTTTCAAAAAATTTAAAAAACAGTTTAATGGTTCAATTCATTAATAAATTATTCAATTTGAGAAAAATAGTCTTTTAACGATTCAATACGGTTTGAAATTTCTAAATGACATACCAAACCAATAATTTTGGTTCAATTCAGTTTGATCGAGTAAATTTTTATTATGAATTAGTTTGATTCAGCTCATTTTTTCAATGAATTGTACCATAGGGTTAATTGATCTCTACAAAAATGAAATATTTTGAGCAGCATTTGAAATGGTACATTCTATTTCCTAGGGGCTAAATAGATCTGTGTTTTTGCTGAAGGGTGAGATGCTCATACAATCTGGTGTAAGAGGTCATTGCACTGAGACAAAAATCCACACTATTGGGGTTATTGATTTGATAATGACAGCACAATAAAATACAAACAAGCCTTAAAGTGAGACATGGAATGATCTCCATCCGTGTGAGCAATTATTATTCTGCAAAATTGTATTGCAAGGAACAGTTAAAGTTCAAATTAGTACAAGTAAAATACAAAACCTGGCAATTGACAGAAGGGTAAACACATTATTACTCTGTCTCTGCATCAAAGCAATGATAAAAAAATAAGAATTTGGTGAGGGCCATGTACATGTGGATGCAGAAGAAGAAAACAAAAGAGTAAAGTTGCTAGAATAAACCTTTCATAATCTACAAGATTCAACACTAACACTAGTCACTGCATTAAAGATTCCTTGCATTGCCACCTTCACTATTGCTAGCATTGTTTAGATGTTCAAAGAAAAGTAAAATGAGCGAGCATATGAAAATATTATAATGCAGAAGCTAACTTCAATTTAGGAGAAGCCGTTCGTTGTAAAAAAAACTCGGTCGATATAAGATTATTTGAATATTTATTTTTTCAGAAGTGCTTCTTGTAAAGTTTATCCAAAGAGGCTCTATATGAATTCTACAACTGGACAAGATTTGCTAACCTATTCATGAACTTCATCTTCACTATACTTCCAGTAATCACTACTACGCATCGTTGGAACTTTGTTCTTCGTTTCTGTTGCTCAATTCAATGTCGTTCGTGCGGGTCTCAACGGATACATTCGATAAACTAGACTGATCAGGGCTTTTGTTTTCAGTTTCCTTTTCAGCCGCGTCTCCCGTAAAGGATTTGAGGGCAAGCTGGCCAGAATAAAGGAATAGACCAATGGAATTCAGGCCGAAAATAAATGTTGCAAGGTAGGACAAGCCGTTTATTATCGTCCTGTGAAAATATGTCGTATGGTTGTCAGGTGTTTCAAACATTAAAATAACGGTAACGTACCAGATAGATAAGAGATCAAAATTACCTTACGGTGATAGTTATCTGGCGAGCCTGAAAAGCATACCATTGTATTGTTAGACTATGGTACAAGCAAGAAAAACTATTGAGCACCGATGCATGAAGAACATGAATAACTGTTGTGTGGTTATTTTCTTCTAGTAATTGAACAAATTGCTTTTGTATTTATTAGTCATATCGATGTGAAACAGAAACAATTTTATCAACTCATTTATAAGCATTTCAGTAGCCACATTATCAAAACTCAGCCTCAAATGCAAAGGTGGAGATAGACCAAAATTGGAGATTTAGAAATGGGGAGAACAAAAAGTAGAATGAGGCAAAATAGAGGGACTGGAACTATATTTATGCCTAACTATTTTCCCCCATTCGATATCTTACACTTTTTGCTTACTTGTATAGTAATCAAAATCAAAACATAACTGTCAGAGCAACACAAAACTGGTATTGTTGTACTTAATACAAACTATTGACCACAAATATAGGCTATAGCAGCAAAATATCGTTATCTTAAATGCAGAAGTTTGTTCAATGCATATAGATTCGTACAAAGACGTATAACACCTTGTGATGATCATAACAACAGGCACAATTACAAAAGCTTTTTTTTACTCGAAACAAAAATTGCAACAGTAAATTTGTATATTTACAGTTTCTCTGTTGGGGGTACTCCAGCTATAAGCATTGAAAATTGAATTTTCTACACATTCCAGAATGCATTCAAATAAAAGAATAGTAACAACGTTTTAAATATTGTTTCCCATTTAATATCTTACCGTTTCTGCATACTTGTATAGTTATGAGTTATGAAAACTAAAACATTAAAGAAGATTGGTAGCTTAGTTTAGTGCTCAACACTCAGATGGCTCATGAATGGAAGACACAGGATAACAATGAATTAATACAGATCAACACTAAATAGCTATGCAATTAAACAATGTTGATGTTGGAAACTTCAGATTATGTCAGTACACCAAGTAACGATGAGACTATTAGAGGGTGAAACATTGTTAGTTCAAAACATTTTGATCAAATATATCCAGCCAAATTAGTTTGGTCTGTTATTGATTGGTAAAAGGATAAAAAAGCCAGACAAATTGAAGACATCTTCCCTAAAGGACAAAACACAATAACAACAATCAAAGCAACTGTGTGTTCCTTCTGTAGATGTAGCTGAAGCTACTATTTCTTTTAATAGAAATTGAAATGTTTATTGTTTTCATCATTTTGCAGTAACTGTTTGGTGTCTTGTACTAGCTAAAAGTACAATTTGTGACAACCCCTAGTGTTCTAGGGCTGTCAAAGGTTTTTAAGGTTGAATGTCCCTCCTCAGTCCTGAGACTAAGGTATTTATAGAGGCTTTCCTGGATTTGGGTTACAAAGTTAGTGGAGCGGTTTTGCCCTACCTCCACTAGTAAGGAAACAGGGAGTACTTGTTTTTCAAGCATTGAGAAACATTTTTCTCCATTGACAAAGTCTCTTCAGTTAGTCACTATGTTCCCACGCCATCAGCCACGTTTATTGGGTAAGTGGAGTTACCCTGGGCGGCCCGAACCCAATAGGACGACCTGTCACCCAGTTTGGGCGAGTGTTTTGGCCCATACTGGGCAAACTAAGGTTTAGCTCGCCCCTCGCCAATGTGTTTAGCCTTCATTATTTTCATAGACTATCCCTTCCTAAGACTCAACAAAATTATACTGGTATAAGTCTTCACAAAGGTATAGCTGGATATAGCCACTATTTGATAATATTTTGTACAAAATAGTTTATTGTCGAATAATAGTGAATTGCTCAAATTCCGCTACAGCTTCTATTTAACAAAACTATTAACTAGACACCAGTTCCTAATTGTGTGAGCTTTTTCTTTGGTTCAATTAATTTATCAGAAAAAACAAGCTTATCTTATTCCAACTAACATGTGCAACAAAAAGAAGAAATAGAGATAAAAGGATATGAGAAGATGATACATACAGAGAAATCCTCTGATATGGTTTGCCGGTTGAGACCCGCCTCAATGATAGTGGCGAACTTATACATAATAAGAGAAATAACCCCGGCGGATATTGCCCCAAGAAATGTTTGAAGAGGTGAGGGTGGACCCGTAGAAGTCTCTATTGTAGCAGACCCCATTGCTTTCAACGTCTCCAATGCTTCTTCCTTTACTGATTTCTCCCCTGAAGACCTGAATTGCTAAAATCATAACAGCAAAAAACACTCATTACAATGAATACACAAAAACGTTAAGATTAGAAAGGTTGAAACTTCAAACCGTTTGTTTGAGACGTTTGGCTCTGCGGCGGAAGGAGCGAAAGAGGAGGACGGAGATGGCACCGGTGAGGAGAATACTGGAAGCAATTTGGATGAAAGAAGGGTCGTCGGTGGTGGAGAGAAGAGAAGGAGGGGAATAGGATGGGATTTCGATGGGTCCATCTGCACCGTCAATTGTTATTCTTGTAGTGATATCTGCGAGCCATGTTGAAGAAGGAATGGCGGAAATTGAAAAGGAAGTGGGTTTTTTGGGAAGAAAAGGGAGAAGAGAAGGTTTATGGTTATGGTGGTGAGTTGGTGACAGTGGGAAAGGAAGGTTGTTTGAGAAGTGGAGGCGATGGTGGCAGTGAAACTGCAACATTGGTGCTTGTGTTGTGCGTTATCTAAGTGTTGTGTTATCTTAATATCTTGTGGAGTTAATTCTGTTTGGCTTTTGGTGGGAAAACCAAACACCCACATATCCAATTCATGGATATCATCTTTTATATATATATATATATATATATATATATATATATATATATATATATATATATATATATATATATATATATATATATATATATATATATATATATATATATATATATATATATATATATATATATATATATATATATATATATATATATATATATATATATATATATATATATATATATATATATATATATATATATATATATATATATATATATATATATATATATATATTTTTTTTTTTTTTTCAAATGGGTTGTAATAGACCCAAATAATTTGACAAATATGTTTGAGGATTTTGTAATGCACATTATATGTTTTTTTAAAGTGTTACGTGAAATATTTTTAAGATTTTGGAGATGTATTTTTGGACGCATTCTATACACACATTTTATTCGTTTTTTAGTCACATTTCAATTCTATGAATAAATTTATTTTGAAAATGCATATCCAAAAAGTTTTCAAAAATATATTTTCGAAATTTACTAGAAAAAAAACAAAAGTCTAAAAGGTAGTAGGATCATATATACTTCTATTTTTTCATAAACAACTACCTTATTATAGACTTTTATTTTTTTTTAGCAGGTTCCAATAATACATTTTCGAAATAAATTTATTCACAAAATTGGGCGTGATTCAAAAGCGAATGAAGTGTGTGTATTGAGGTGCATCCGAAGATATATCTCCAAAAATTGAGGACATTTTAATATTTTCGTGTGGTGCCTAAGAAACATATAGATGCATTAAAAAATCCTTATATGTTTTGGAAAGTCTAGCAACCATCCTGTGATATTTGGGTCGAACTCTAGTGTCGATAATGGTAGCTTCATGGTTCGATAAGAGTTGTGTATGTTGTAGTCGAAGTCTGTTCAAGCATAATGTTGGAATATATTAACTTGTAATTTAAGTTAGAATGTCGAATTAGACATTGCTTCTAAGCCCAATTGTTAAGTTAGTTTTATTCTAAGTTAGTTTAGTAGTCTATAAATAAACTAATTCTCTTAGGTTATTGAGAGAAGTTAATTGTTGGTATTCACTTGTAATCGTTGAACCTTTATTGAGTAAGTGAATAGTAAAATAGTTTTAACTGATTCATATTCTTCTTCTTCTTTCTTCTCTATCTTTTGTAAAACCTAATAGGGCTCTTGTGTTTGTTCAAAAAACTAAATTTTTTTTCTCATATTTTGGTTTGTTCTTGACGACATCAATTCACAACAAACTGGTGCGATGAACGTGCAGAAGAAGATGTCGTCAACAAAGTATGAGATTGATAAATTTACTGGGGTGAATGATTTCGGTTTGTGGCGCTTAAAGATGCAAACCCTTCTTGTTCAAAAGGGTTTGTTAGAAGCGCTAAAAGGATTAGAGAAGATGGACGCTGCCCTGTCGTAGAAGGACAAGACAACGATGGTCGAGAAAGCCCACAGTGTCCTTGTATTGAGCCTTGGTGATAAGGTTCTCCGGCAGGTTTCAAAGGAGAAAACTACAACGGGTGTGTGGACAAAACTTAAAGGTTTGTACATGACAAAATCGTTAGTTAATCATCTCTACCTGAAGCAAGCTTTGTATTCATTCAAGATGAGTAAAGACAAAGCCTTGACTAAGCAGTTGGATATGTTAAACAAGTTAATTCTTGATCTTGAAAATATTGAGGTCAAGATTGATGTTGAAGATCAAGTGTTGTTATTGTTGTGCTCTTTACCTAAGTCTCATACTCACTTCAAAGAAACTCTATTGTATGGAAGAGAGTCGTTGATCCTTGAAGATGTTCAATCTGCCTTGTACTCTAAGGATTTGAACGAACGAAAGGAGCATAAGCCATCTTCTATTGGTGAAGGTTTGTCCATTATGGGGAAATTCTTGAAGAAATATGGTAGGTTTGAGAAAAAGAAGGGTAAAGTTCTACAAAATTCTTATGGTGGTAATGCTCTTACTATTAAGTGTTATCATTGTAAGAAGGAGGGTCATACAAGAAAAATATGCCCTGATCGATTGGAAAATCATGGTGGAAAGGATAATGGTAATGCAGCCATTGTGCAAGATGGTTACGAATCATCTGATGTCTTGGTGGTTTCAACCAGTGACTCTAGCAAGGAGCGAATTCTGGATTCAGGGTGTACTTGGCACATTACTCCAAACAAAGATGTGTTTGAAGAATCATGTGATCAAGATGGTGGATCAGTGCTGCTGGGAAACAACAAAGCTTACAAAATTGCAGGTATTGGATTTGTGAGATTCAAGCTTCATGATGAGTCAATAAGGCTATTGACTGATATCAAGTATGTATCTGATTTTAAGAGGAATTTGATTTCTCTTGGTGAATTCAACAAGAAATGATATGTTTTCAAAAGGAGAGTAAATCATCCTAAAAGTAATGAAGGGGTCGAAGGAAGTCTTGAGAGGCGTGAAGAAGCAAGGCTTGTATACCCTTAAACATGAGGTTGCAAATGGTTCAGCAGATGTGGCATCCACGAAACCTATGTCGAAGGCTAAGCTATGGCACAAGAGGCTTGACCATGTTAGTGAAAGAAGCCTGGTCGAATTGTCGAGACAAAATATGTTGAATGGTTATAAGGTCGAAAAAATTGAGTTTTGTGAACCTTGTGTATTCGGTAAATCCTGTAGAATGAAGTTTAATAAAGGTAAAAAAAAAGAACACATGGATCCCTTGATTACATGCATGATGATTTTCGAGGACCTACAAGGAATCTCTCACACTCAGGTGCAAAGTATTTTCTATCCATATTTGATTATTACTCCACAAAGTTATGGGTATTCATTCAGAAGACTAGGAATGAAAATTTTTAAATTTTCAAAAGTTGGAAGACTCTGGTCGAAAACCAAATTGGTAGGAAGGTCAAGTGGTTGAGGACCGACAATGGTTTTGAATTTTGCAATGAGGCTTTCGACAACTATTGTGTTATATATGGTATTTTAAGGCACATAACTACTGCAAGGACTCCCCAACAAAATGGTTTAGCTGAAAGGTTTAATCGAACCCTTCTGGAAAGGGTGAGGTGCATGTTAGTAAGTGCGGGATTGAAGAAGGTGTTTTGGGCAGAAGCTATTGTGACTCCCCAACCAAATACTTGATAAATAGGCGTCCCTCGATAGCCTTGGGAATGAAAATACTTGAAGAAGTCTGGTCGGGACATCCACCTAACTTGACAGACTTAGAGTATTTGGTTGTTTAGCCTATGCTCATATTAGGCAAGACAAGGTCGAACCTAGAGCTCTGAGATGTATGTTCCTTGGATACCCAAAAGGAGTCAAAGCTTATAGGCGCTGGTGCATAGAGCCAGGTTACATGAGGTGTATCACAAGTTGAGATGTATTTTTCAATGAAGCTAAGATGGATTTCAAGAAAACTGGTGACATTGGTCTAAGTTCGAAGAACTCAGAAGAAGAGTTGGAACAGGAAGAGATTCCTGTTGAGGTGGAGCATAGTGATGCTGAATTGCATAACCCAGATGAAGTCAAAGAAGAATCTTAAGTTATTGATGAAGATGAGGAGACTGATAATGACTACCTGTTGGCAAGAGATGGGTCGAGAAGAGTCATCAAGCCACCTCATAGACTTGGTTATGCAGATCTTATAGCTTATACCTTAATTTCTGCAAGTGAGGTTCTGGACAAAGAACCTAGAGACTATAAGGAAGCTATGAGGAATCGATACAAGACTAAATGGCCGAAAGCCATGGATGATGAGATGAAATCTCTTTATGATAATAAAAATTGGGAGTTGATCGAGAAACCTGCAAGGCCCAGGTTAGTAAGATGTAAGTGGATCTTCAAGGTTAAGAAAGGAATCAAAAGAGTGGTGTCGAAGAATTTTAAGGCAAAGTTGGTTGCTAGGGGGTTCACTAAAAAATAAGGTGTCGACTTCAATGATATGTTCTCACGTGTTATAAAGTATACTTCAATTAGATTGTTGTTAGCCGTGGTGGCAAAGTTTGACTTAGAAATTGAACAAATGAATGTGAAAACAACCTTACTGTATGGTGATTTAGATGAAACAATTTTGATGAGGCAACCTTAGGGGTATGCAGAAAAGGGAAAGGAAGATTATGTATCCAAGCTGAATAGGTCTTTGTATGGCTTGAAATAATCTCCTCGAGAATGGAATAGGAGATTCGACAAGTTCATGACACACATTGGTTTCACTAGGAGCCAATTCAACCATTGTGTTTACTTTAGATTTTGACCTGGAAATTCACTTGTTATTTTATTTCTTTATATGGATGACATCCTCATAGCAAGCAACATGAAGATGTTATGAAGGGGAAGGTTGGACTCAATAAGGAGTTCGACATGAAGGATCTGGGAGCTGCCTCCAGAATTCTTAGGATTGACATCTGGAGAGATAGAAAGCAGTCAATATTATGCTTATCTCAAGAGACATACCTAAATAAGATTCTCGACAAGTTTGGTATGTCGAATTCAAATCATGTTCTAACACCGACTAATTCTCATTACAAGCTAAGCACGACTCAAAGTCCTAGTACTGAAGTCGAAAGAGCCTATAAGAATAACATTCCACATGCTAGTATAGTAGGTTCTTTGATGTATCTTATGGATCTTACGAGGCCAAATATAACATATGGAGTGAGCCTTGTAAGCAAGTATATGGCCAATCCTAGGAAGGCGCATTGGAAAACATTAAAGTGGATTCTTAGGTACATAAATGGGTCTATGATCCGAGTCCTGATTTATGATGGAGCCTATAAATGGAAGGATTTGTCGACTCTGATTATGCAGATTGTATGGATTCCAGAAAATCTATTTCTTGATATGTGTTTGCTATGTTTGGCACAAAAATCAGTTGGAAAGTAACACTTCAGAAGGTTGTTGCCCTATCAACCACTGAAGCAGAGTATATCA